TCTCGTGTAGGGTTTATTTGTGTAGAATCTATACAGCCCCAACATTTTTGACTTAAATTTTACAATTACATAATTAGTCAGTCTTTTAAAATATTTTTTTAAATAATTATTTGTATCATTAATTAATTGTATAAACTCTAATTTCTGATTAATAAATAATTTTTAAGACATGAATACTTATTCCGAATGAGATTTATTGAAATTAAAATTGACACACATATAATTGACCCTTTTTTTACCCTTCACACATTCTAAATGTGCCCAGTTTTTGCAAACTATGCATTGAATCAACTTTTCTCTTAATTTTGGGTTGGAATAACTATTCGAATAAACGAGGCAATAGTAGATTGTGGTTATGTAACGATTGACAGCGGCACAACCAGCCCCAATCCAAAGGCACAATTAACCTCGTTGCGTCGACGCTCACTTTTCATCAAATATTAAAAAACGAGATAAATTAAATGTTAACCCAAGTAGCACGATATATCAACCAGATGTCACGGTGATTTCACCGAGGAATGTCACCGTGACATCAGGAAAATGTCAAAATGTCCGCCTTACGGTGATATGACACGGTGACATCGAGGTGATATCATGGTGACATCGAGGTGATATCATGGTGACATCAAGGTGATATCACAGTCATATCACGGTGATATCATGTTGATATTTTACAGGGATTTAAAATTTTTAAAAAATTATTATTTTTTTATTATTTTTATTATTTTTTTTATTTATTATTATTTTTTAAATTATTAAAAATTTTAAGTCCCTGTAAAATATCAACATGATATCACGGTGATATCACCATGATATCACCTTGATGTCACCATGATATCACCTCGATGTCACCGTGTGATATCACCGTAAGGCGGACATTTTGACATTTTTCTGATGTCACGGTGACATCCCGAGGCGAAATTTGAATCCTCTTTAGCTTCCCTTAGAACCTAAATAGGCCCTCTTTACGATCTTGTAGACTCCCGTAGGCCCTCCTTTGAATCCAAACGTGGAAGAAAGGTAAATTTGCGACTGGTTGAGGAAGCTAAAGAGGGTCTAGTTCGATTAAAAAAGTACAAAAAAATGCAAAAAAAAACTCTTTTAATTATTTTGATTAAAGCAAAATGAATTTTTTCTTCACACAATATTTCTTTAATTACCCTTTAAAAACTGGAATTAACATATTTTGAAGCGTTTTCAAAAAATTAATAGAATTAGAGCAATTTCAAAATTTTCAATATTTTAATCAATTTTTAGACCCTACTTTAAATCCAAACGTGGAAGAAAGGGAAATTTGCGACTAGTTGAGGAAGCTAAAGAGGGTCTGTTTAACTCTACTTTACTCCTTGTAAATTAGGGCTTAAATTTCGCCTCGGGATTCCTCGGTGATATCACCGTGACATCTGGTTGATATATCGTGCTACTTGGGAAGATCAATACACCATTGAATCCCTCGATAAATTTGGATTATTTAAAAAAAAATACGTAACGATATCTTTAAAAATGCAAAAAATAGACCAAAAAGTATAAACATGAAAACTTGCACGTAAGTCAGCGCCAAAGCACCAAATTACTAACAGCTAATTATTCCGTGAAGCAAACAAATTCAAAATAGTTGCCAAAGATGCGCATAAGTAAAACAATACTTCTCTCACTTCCACTATTCAAAAAAAAAATTTTGTTTTTGAGATATTCTTATCGGCACAACTTACCCCGGCACTTTCAGCTCCGGTCTCCCCTATTTTATATCTAAAAACATTACCCAAGCAAAAATAAATTTCTGTCAAATGCCGATATTGACAACAGGCGCAATCATGCACCAATACTGGCTGGCCGACAGTTGGCTTACCAGTATTTGTTCAGTACTGATATGGATTAAATTCTGTACTGTGCCAATACTACAAGCCAATACCGGCATGCCAGTATTTTCCAATACTGTGCCAGTATTATTGAGACAGCAATGGCGAACCAGTACTCGGTCAGTATTAATTCAATACCAAATGCCAGTATCCAGAAAAATTATGAAAATTGACCTCCATGAAGTTGGCGTTGACGCTCAGCGCCAAAAATTATTTTTCACAGGACCAAAAATGTCAAATTATTTTTTTTAAAAAGATTTTCGGTCCAAATATGTAATGCCTTAAGAAATAATTTTTAAGGTATTATGTGAACCTAAAACTTTTTTAAAAATGATTTGTTATTTTTGGTCCGTGACAAATAATTTTCGACGTTGAGCGTCGACGCCAACTTCACAGACGTGAAAATTGTGTATTTTTGTTGGTTAGAAATTAAATTTACATACATATTTTTTTTAAATTATTTTAATACTTTTTTTCGATTACTGCAATGCGTTCGTTAACGGAATTATGAAATTTAAATTTAATATTAAAACTTTTTAATAAAAAAATACATAATTAATGAAGTTCTCAAATTATTTTTCTTACACTGAAAAAATATATTTGAATCAAATAAACTCTATTTTAACCAATAATTTTATTCAATTTCGGTAATTTAAAGAAATACAAATAAATATATATTTTATAATATTTGAAGAAATTATTTGACTAATAAAATAAAGAGTAAAATGTTAATATAAAAAAATAACAATTCAAAAGTTATTATAATAATTTATTATTATTAATAGTTAATGCTATGAGTCGGTTCTTCGATCCAGCTGCAAAAAGAACCCTGAATTTTGAATATCTATACCAGTGCTCACTTATTACTGGTTACTATAATTTTTCCCGTACTGGCAAAATACAGAATTACTGCTAAATTCCAGTATTGAACCAGTACTAAACGCCAGTACTAAGCCATTACTAATGACCAGTACTAATAAACGTTATCATCCCAAACATATGCCAGTATTGGTTCAATATTGTTGGTCAGTACTTTGCCTTAATTGCCAGTACTGGCGCAACACTGCGCCGGTTGTAAATTTTTGTTTGGGTAATTATTTAAAGTAAAATATTTATTAATATATTAAATTTAATTAAATTAAAAAAATAGACTAAAACGACTTTTTTTAGCACCTTAAAGTCGATCCGAGGCCTGAACATTCATTGTACTCTTAGTTAGCTTAAAGTGAGATTCACAAATCTATAATTATGAAGGTCATTAATTTATTTACAAAAAATGGTATATTTGAGGAAAGTAATGTCGAATAGAAAAATTTTGTTGTGAATGCTTAAAAATTAGAAAAATAGAACTTAATAAGTAGAAATTCAATTCAGAAATTTTCATGTAAGATTAATTCCCGTGATTAACTCCTCACCAATGGAAAATTCACAAAACGGGAAAAGATTTTTTTATTTTCACTAGTAGAAAATAAACGATTTAACTAAGAATATTTGATCAGTTAAATATACAACTATCTAAAGATTAAAACACATAAGAAATATTCTTTTATTTTGATGGTTTTTTGGAAGTTCTAGAATTTATTGCTTCTATAGATGTAAAGGATGTTTTTTTAATTCATGGGTCATTTAGTTAAAATATACAATGCAAGGTAAATGTTACAATTAAAGGAATACTCAACTTTAATATCTATACACAATTTCCAAGGTAACAGGAAATATATTGAAATAGTAGTTTACAATCTATATATATATATATTATTTTTTTTCATCACATGAAAGGTTTCCGAAAGATACAAAGCTTAATCTCCTGGAAATAATGATAATCCTCTTGTCACGATACGTTTACATTTTCTTATACGCATTTCAATCACAATAATCAATGAATGACTTATTAACGTTGCAATGACTATAATAAATGAGTTTGGTAATAATTCACAAAAATAATATCTTCTGGATTGATGAGAAAGAATGGAAAGTGGCATTAATTTTAAATAAATTTATTTTACTTTAAATTTAGAAGAAGACGAAGAAGATGATGATGAAGTTTTAATGTTATTAGACTTATATCATTATTGAATAAAAGAGGCGTGAAAAAAATTAATGGACGCTATCGCGCTGAAGGGACATTAATTTTCAACGATTTGACATTCTCCTCTGTGGTTGCAAGATGAATGAAACTAAGTGAGATTATTCCGATACTGTAAAAAGGAGATGACAGCCATTTTTCTTCGCCTAAAATAGATTTAAAGTTGTTGCACTTGAGAAACCGATTTCTGTATACTACCACAGATGTTTCCTTATAGATAGTAATCTCAATGTTGGACAAGTGCCAAAACCATTTTTTATTTTATATTTCCCAAAATTTAATAGAGATAGAAAGAGAGATTTATAATACAACAAATAAATATGCATTTGATTTACTCACAAAATGTAATAATATTATTACGACTTTGAAATTTCAAAAAGCGTTTTTTTAGTACATACCTATTAAAAGAGGAAAAATTCGATTTCAATTGAAATTATTCATATTTTAATCAATTAATGAGTTTTTTTACCACTTAAGGAAACAACGTAAAATTAAATTCTACGTCATGCAATAGAAATTATAGAGTTTTTTTCGTTGTCCGAAAAAACATCGAATACAATTCACTATCAATTAATATTTTATCTTATATTATTCTGTCACTTTGATATATTATGTTGTCGTATACCTACTACTGTGATCCAAAAATAGCTGGTTCATTAATTTTCTACCAAATTAATCTTTTAGGAATTGAAAATATAAACATTTTATTTTTAATAATTGTCACACCTGTAATATGTATTTTATTAATTTTACTTATTAAAATATTCTAAAAATAAAGTGTTATTTTACACATAGAGAAATTAAAATTTATAACTATTATTTTGAAAAATAAATTAAATCTACAATTCTCTATAAAGAAATTATTCCTAAAGCTGCAATTTTTTATTTATTGCGTTTTAATAGTTTGTGAAGAATATTTGGTAATTGTAATATTTAGAAATTGTTTTTGAATAGAAACACAAGTGTAAAAATAAAATATTCGTTTTTTGAAAAACAATTAGCTTTTTGTTATTTATCAGATGTTGATTAAACGTTAGTGCTTATAAAATACTTACACGCAAGAATGACTGTGACGTATTAGCTTTGAAGCGGCATTTTTATTTTTTTTTTTTTGATGAAAAGGTCACTAAAAAATCTTCAAAATACAGCTTCTTTTTCAAAATTTGTTAATTCGGTGATTATGTTATTTTAAATGTCAAATTTAAGAAAAAAAGAAAAATTATTTAACACTTTTACGAATCACTGTATCCATAAAATTGTTGAAAAAGCGTAAATTTTTTCTACGCAAAATGTACAATATTTTTTGCAAATTATGAAAATTCTTCTTTTTATCGAATATCGCTTTTCAGTTTTACCAGTACACAATTAATTTTTAGAAACGGTACCATTCCAAATTCACTTTCCCTTGCATTTTATAAAAAGTTGACACTTAAAATTACTTGTTCCTTTAGGAAAATAGTTTTGTTTTTTTCTTTCTAATTTCCACTTTTCTCCACTATCACTGTTTTACAGGTTTTCTGAAATTGAATTTTCGCTCAGGGTCGTGTATGCTTTCCGCACCTTTCAATGCTTTAATTCATTTATTATTTTGCAAAATTATTCGAGAAATAATGTCATAAGAGAGAAAAAATGAGCAAATATTAATTTGTTTGGTTTAAAAAGATAAAAAAAAAATGAAAAATGTCGAGAAATTAATTGCTTGTAGATTGAAGTAGGTTTACGTTACGAGACATTGATGAGGACAGCGCGCGGATTCAAGCACAAATATCTGAAGCGGCAGAAGCGCTGATACTAAGCCAACAGAGGGGTTGAGACATGGGTTGAGAGTTAGCAGTTCGGTGGGGTTCGTTGAAGGTGGGTGAAACGTGACAGGGTTGCTGCTGAAGTCCTACCTCGAGTCACTGTAGGGAGCCACCTGTCTAACTATGGTAACTTCGTTTTCTGATTGCAACCTAGATTTTAAAAAAATGCGTTATAATATAGTGATTGTTTTTCCAGTTTTAATGCAACTGTTTTTTTCAATTTTTGGATTAATACATTAACTAATTCTAATTTCAATGATCGATTTCTGGGGAAAGAGAAATAGACATTTAAATGAATCCAGATTGTTTTAATAAAATATTGACAGACAGAACGACTGAGGATCATCCTTCATTCGAACCTCTGCCGATGTCAATCATTAACGTCTTAGTAATTCTTCAAGTACAAAAACATATATTTTTTATTTTCGCCCTTGTAACATTTTAATACTTTAATTAAAACCCTTTTAGTTTTCAATGAATATTTAAATTCTGATTGTCTTAAAAAATGTTAAAAGAGTGTTTTTGTAAAATAGGTTACAAAAACACATCAACATTAATGTGACTCGAAATAATCGATGAAAGGTCATATACTCATAAATTAATAATACAAAATAATTCATTTTATAAAAGTGAAATTAATTATTATCTTTTTTTAATTAGTTATTATAATTAGGGGTAATCCATAAGCATGTGATACTTTAAGGGGTTAGGGGTCAGCAAAATATCACTCTACAAGTTATTTGCTATTGCATCTAATAGGTATTTATTGCTACATTTAATAAAAAGTATTAGCCACGTGACGCCAGTTTTACTTCGCGTCAAATAAGGCATGGACCGCAGTTAACCGCGGAAAAGTTTTGTTAAATGCAGTGATATATTATTAAGTAAATATTAATTATTACTCAAAAATGTTGAATGAAGAACTAGTGCAGCTTCTCTGAAAATGGGACATGGAGAAATATATAAATACGCTAAGCAAGATTCAGTGAAGTCCTTTGTATATTCAATTCGTACCAATGACTTTTCTTCGGTTGAGAATCCAAACAAAATGACCAACTCGTCTATTGAATTCGTGCTGACAAATTGAAAAAAATTAAAGCTCAAAAGTTTGTTCATTGAATTGGTGCGGATAGAGAGTTTGGAAGTTGAATACAGCTTTGTCGAATTCAGGAGAATTGCAATATAGCTCCAATTCGAATTTGTCGCTAAGCGGGATTCACTGAAGCCAAGGGTGTATTCATTTCAATTCAACTGAATTAGTTTTCATTTGCTGGGGTGTAAGATTGTAGTCAGCTTACAGTTAAGCTTACTAGAACCTTACTGTAAGCTTCCTGTAAACTTACTGTAAGTTTCGTGTAAGCTTTCATTATTATTAATAAATGTTAATAAATATATAAATTAAACAATTATTCATGCGCAGTAGTTTATTATAGCTTTTACGGCTGCGCAGTAGATTTTATAATCAACTATTCCTGTTAGGGTTGTTAAATATTAATAAATAATATTTATTAATATTAATTAACAGTAGTGTAAGCTTAAAGAAAGTTTACATGAGGCTTACAGTAATCTTACATGGAAGGTTACATTAAGACTACACGAAGCTTACAGCTTACAGTAAGTTTACGGAAGGCTTACAGTAAGGTCATAGTAGGCTTAACTGTATGCTGACAATAACTTCAATACGCCATTTGGTGTTTACCTACTTCTGATAACCATTTTCCTTTTTCGTCTTTCTTTTATTAACACACGATAGAAAGAGAAATAAAAACCAAAATATCTGACGAATAGGTAAAAGTCACTAGACCGCCAATCCCAATAAGTTCAAATAAATATTTTTTAATTTCAATAACCATTTTAAGTTTTGAAAAAATTCATAGTATTTAATGAAATATACCTAAATGTTTTGAAATTTGAATATTTTAATTAAAGTAAAAAATATTTACTTAAACTCATTTAAATAATATCAATGAATAGTTATTTCAGTCATAGGACAGATTATTTTATTTTGCTGCAATTGAAATAGCTAACACAGCTAATTAATTTGCGCTCGATGTTAGTTACTATAGCTAAATTATTACGTCTTCCAGCTGACAACTAGTAGCTGCCATAGCTAACAGTAATCCAGTTAACATAAATAGCTAATAAAATTTTTATCTATGATGTATTCCACGCCAAAGTGTAAGTCCATTTGCAATTGCATCTCCGATTTTTTTGAGATTTTTTTTTCTTTTAGTACTCATTGAGACTAACTTCCATGAATTTTTTCAAATTTTTTTAGCAAGTCGTTTTCGAGATATGAAATTTTGAAAATTGGAGAATTTGCATGACTTTCATAATTTCTGAATGCTCATAACTTCTTTAAAAATGCATCAATTTTAAAAGTCTTTTTTTCAAAATGTGTGTTTTTAAACGTACTTTTCAACAAAAAAATCTATTTTTTTTATATGATATTACTATCAAATTTTTGAGTTTTAATGATAAAAAGTCATTTTTCTCATTTGACGTAATGATCGATTTTTTTCAAAATTTTTTCAAAAAAACCACTTCTTATTACGAAACTTTTAAGCCTAGCCCTATAATGGGCAAACAATTTTTACAATATTTTCGGAATTTTTCAAAAATTTAAGAATTTTGTTTTTTTTTTTTAAATATTTTTGGTTTTTTTTTATACTACGTACTTTTATGTATTTTGATCCGCTGATTACGAAAATCATAGTGACAATACCCAAAAATTTGATTTTTAAAGTAAAAACCATAAAAAAGTCCCAAAATTTATGGTTTTTGTCGTTTATTGGGTAAAATATGCAAAATTAAAAAAAAACTTTCAAACAAAAGTTATAGATCTTATTAAAATACATTTTTCTTATTTTATGCATTTTTTTTAATTTTGCATATTTTACACAATAAACGAAAAAAACCATAAATTTTGGGACTTTTTTATGGTTTTCAACATAAAAATCAAATTTTTATGATGGACTTACACTTTGGCGTGGAATACATCCTATATAATAGAAATTAAAATTAGCTGAAATAGCTAAGAGTTAGCAGTATCAACTATCTTTTTTCCTCCGTGTGCATTGGTAGATAGTACACTGAAAAAGTCTTAAGGGATCAGCAGTTCCAACAGTGGAAATGCAGTAGCTCTTTGCTTTGGAGTGTTGCTAAATGTTGGGCGAGCAGATGTTCCACGTTATTGTTACCAAGATTTGGTGATGCTGCAGCATCAGACTTGGGCACTCAGAGCACCCAAGATGGGAAACAGTTAGTCCCACAATGAAGTTGTGCAGAATCTCTTTATTTGGTGCTTCTCATACATGCGTTGGGAATTCTAAACGCCCAAGACTTTTTCAGTGTAGGGCGTTTCACCGAAAACTTCTTTTTGATTTTCTAAAACCTTAATTCGAATTTAGACTCGTCTTGACCCACAAAATATGTGACATTTTTTTTAAATTTTTTGAAGGTCATTTATAGGTCGCTATTTTGATTTTTATGCAAAATTTGTGCTTTTTACCTATATAAAAAAAAATTTATTTTTTATATTTAAGTCTTCAATTTTTTTAAAACTATGCGCTTTATAGTGGTAGAGATTACCAAATTGGTAAAAAAAAATTGTTCCAACTTAAAAAAAAATATTTGAAGCGGTTTCAAGTTTTTTTTTATGACCTTAAATGAAAAAAATTTAAAGCCTATTAAAATATGTAATTCTTTTTTAGAATGTTTAAACAGACAATATACCTTAATTAGGTAAAAGAAAATTTTGTTAGATATGTTGTATTTCTGTAAAATTAAGGGTCGTCCTCTAAATGATCTTCAAACAAATTTGAAAAAAATCTGACATATTTTGTGGGTCAAAAGGAGTCTAATTTCGGGTAAAGGTTTTAAAAAATCGAAAAAAGTTTTCGGTGAAACGCTTTAGCAGATAGTCTATGTACTGATTTTTGTAAAATCTAAACAGCCGAGGTCTTGGAATATCTGAAGAATGTATTTAGGATATCCACGAAAATATCCTACCTATAGTGAAGGTTCTTAATTAAGTTAATTAAGTTACTTTTATAAAAAAGTAACTCGTTACAGTTTCAGTTACTTACAAAGTAACTTAAGTTACATTTCAAGTTACTGAAAAATTATTTTAAAATTTGTCTTATCGAAATTCAATTTTTTTATCTAATGGGAATCAAATTAAAATGTGAAATATAATTGTAATACATGTATTTATTCAAGTTCTTCACATAGATTTGCATTCATTTTAATAAAAGCATCATCTATTCTTTCCCCTAAAGTTTTACGTTTAAAAATTTTTAAATTTCCTGGTAATCCAAGTAACACAAGGTCTTTTAAAGATGATTTTTCTACAACACTTCTATTACATAATCCATAATTTTTTTATCCAATATTTTTTGAGTAACTAGCTTTGAATCGGAAGTCCAGTTTTCCAAAAGAGTTTGCTTCTTATTTGACTGTGATGAAGAATCTGAGAATTGTTCTTCGAATTTTCTCTTTTTTTTTCTTTCGCTATAGCTGCTTCTAATTCTTTAACGTATCCATGTTTAACCTATGCAAGTATTTATTTATAAAAATTTTGAAAATATTATTATTATTATTAGAAAATTAGTTTTTATAATCATGGATTTTGTTTGCCATTTTAAGAATTAATTTACAAATCAATTAATAAGGTACAAATTTGACACGGGGTTGCTAAAAATTATTTTTATAAACTCTTAAGGTATCACATCGGCACTAATCGGAGTCAAAAGTTTGTAGCTCGCATTACTACTTCCCGCACTATACTTTCGCCCTCAACTCCCTATACTCTCAGCCCATACTGTACCTACTTCTACAAATACACTCGTACATGTATACCCCACACTAGCAGCGATTAGAAGGAGTAGGAGGTTTGACAACGTCGCTATAAGTCTCGCTTTGACTACTGTGGACTACTGTCTCTCTCTAACTAATGTCACCATCCTGCGATGTTGCCACATCAAAGTGGCGGGTGTGCTATATATTGCAAATGACGTCATGAAATA